GGGGGGAGGAGGAAAAGGGAGTCGCTGTCGCGAGAACGTGGAGGACGGAACTTATCGCCCCTGTCTCGCATCCGTGGGCAGGGGTGGTGGAGGAGGGGAGGATCTCGTGTATATTATACTCGGTGACGCGGATATATTCCGCGCTCGTCCCGGAACGAGGCACGCGCTCGTATCATCCGGTCCCCGACACAGCGCTACGTATATTTAACGTCTAATACGACGACGTCGTGTTACGCGAGAACTCATGCAGGATGAAGAGAGAGAGAGAGAGAGAAGGAGGGAGGGAGGGAGAAAGAAAGAGAGTCCTCTCTGCACGCGAATCCCATAGGATGGCGGCCGCACATCCTGGTGCGGTGGTCGTCGAAATAGGAAATTCCATTTGCGCCGCGACGAGAGTTTCCGAGATGGAAATAGTTCGCGTTCGTTGACAACGCGTTATTTATCGCGGATTATTCATCGAAAAATATGAATGCCCGACTGTAAAAAAGAGTGGTTCAAGGTACTGACATCACTGAAGGTATGATTTTTTAAAGTAACTATGAAATATATATACAAGATAAGTGACTAGATTACCATCTTTTTTTATCTTATAGGAAAAAGTGTTATCTCCTCTCGCTCAGTTGTCCTTGAATCCGATTCCATTTTCTAGACTTGAAACCTCACGATCTACATTAGTGCTTCCGAATCTCTAATTATATCGACCTGAGAGCAACTCTTTTCGTTCGCCATAATCACACGCGATAATTCACGAAATCGAGAACTCCTCGATTGTCGCCTATATTTTTAAAAACAGCTCAGCTTCTCGCTCAAAGCTTTAAAAGACATCGACATAATCGCATGAATGCGCATTGCGTCCGCCGCGCCGCGCGCGTTGCACGGCGATATCTACTGTCTCCCGCGAAGACGTATCGCTTCCCGATCCTGCAGCGACGCCTCGCGCCGCTGTGCAGGCGCCCGATGCGCCTCGGCACGTACCAGTTTCCGCGGAGAATGCCGAGGAGAAATAGATACGGAGCTCGTTACTCATCTAAAACAAGCGCGGCCGAGACGTACGCGCGCGAAAACCTCTTCCCCTCGCGGTTGCCGCCGCGCACATCCGCTCTCTCTCTCTCTCTCTTTCTCTCGACATTGTTCGCGGCCCGGTTTTCGTTCGATCTCATCCATATACGCCGGAGTCGCGAGCCTCGCGCACGATTAATTCTCCGCAAACATTACCGGAACCATCCCGAACCTTTTCCGGAGTCCGAACTAATTTCGACAAATACGGACCGACATTCTGTATTTTGCCATCCTGTTAAATCTTGCTTAGACCCGTGAATCTTTTTCTGCTTTACGTGACAATCGATTTTTTAATAGAAGGGAAATATTTCCCGTGGGGAGGATTGTTATTCACCGTTATGTGTATCTATCTTAAATCCGGCTTAAGTCATAAATATTTGCATCAACTTTTAATCTTTGAAACGTTTGCAAAGGTACAAGTATCTTCTGCAAATGTTTGCGTTAACAAGAATAATAAATACTTTAGGATGGTTTAGCATTTTGGAAAAGTGGCTTAATATTTTAAGTTGGTTGCGGTAAAGCTCAAGTATTTAAGCATCTTTTTACACGCGTAAATGCGTGCTATCCGAAAATTCTGTCCGAAATAAGCAAGACTCTCACATTAAATTACGTCGCGAAATTTTCATTGTACCTGCTTCGTATTTTCACTAGCGCCCCAGGGAAGGAGGGAGAAAAAACGCGCGCGTTATCTGGACTTCGTGATTTAAAGCGTGCAAATATTTTGCATCGCAATCGCACCGATTCTTCCGCCCGAGCGGAATTTTCCTCTCGCGCAATGTAAATCCGCGCCGGGGAGAAGCGCAAAGCGGATATCGCGCTATCGTCCTCGAATGTTGGAGAAACAACAACGAGTTGCATCTCGATCCCGTATGTGTGGGAAAGAACGCAGTTAGAAAGATTAAAAATAGAAGGTTAAAAAATTACACGCGGGGTTTTCCGGATGCATCGTATATAAATAATGTAAAAGGAAAAAACAAACTCCGAAAGGAATAACGATCGCACGAACATATCGCGATATTAGTAATTTGTAAACGATCGGAAGTTAAAAGAAACTTGTCGATATTTCAAACAGATAAACAAAATTCTGTAAATAAACATTTTTAATTAATTTCATAAATTACCTTTTACGAATAATTTTAACGTGTAAACTCGTTAACAAAATATTTAATGTCGGGAATCACAAGACTATAAAGAAGTGTTGCTCTCAATTTTTGTCGGGGAAAGAATCGCGTCCCAAATTCTTAGGGTTGCCAGCCAAGAATGCACTTGCAACTTTTACGATGTCCTACACGCGACAGGATTCAGACAAAAAGACGAAGGGTAAAGCGGCGAATCGCAAGAAAGCGATGATAAAGACAGATGAAGAGAAAGGGCGTGGATAGACGAGAAAGGAAAGCGATAAAGCCCGGACGAAAGTACCGACGAAATTGTCCTACAAAGAAGAGAGAAGAGAGAGAAAGAGAGAGAGAGAGAGAGAGAAATAGAGAGAAAATGCGGGAGAAGAAATAGGAACGAGAGAAGATAGAGGGAGGACAAGTGTACATCGTAAATTCCCTTTGTCCGACCTTCTCGAGCGGACGACAACCCGCAGCGGGCCGCGGTTGTTTCCTCCTGGAAGCAACGGCACACGATCTTCGCCGAACCGGAAGTGGCGCTGAATGCCAAGACTAAGACAAATTTGTTTATTTGCGACGGGCAACAATGAGAGCCCCGGCGGTTCGGTCTCACGCGAATTTGACGCGGAGGAACGCGCGCGGAGATACGAATTAGCGATGCCTCGTCTGCTATTCAATAATCTTGCGGACATTTCTGGCGCATTAATATTCGACGGGATCGCGTTCTAAATTTCTTCCTATAGAGTCCAGGATCAGCGGACTCGTACGTTTGCTCTAAATAATTCGTGATTTGTATTAAATTATTCGAGCAAAACACAGATGTGCCTTTCAAACTTGTCAGACTCGGGCTGCGGGCTGATCCAGATAGATCCCGAGTTGGCTCTAAAATTGGCTCAGGTTGAACCAGAGGCAGATCGCGTTGTTCAGCAGAATATTGTATACGTAACTCTAATTAATGTTATTCAAACATTAAATCATGTTACGTGGATTTGCGCTGTTTCCACGCGCGCGTGACATGGCAGTTCTTTGACGCTCAGATACCCGTTCCTCGTTTGCTTATTCCAGAAGGAGGAGCTGCATCACAACGTCACCGCCGGCGTGGTGCTCTCGGACCACTCGCTGGTGCTGCAGAGCATAACTCGAGAGTCCGCCGGAGGGTACACCTGCATGGCCGCGAATGTCGAGGGCCGCGCCAAGTCCAACGTAGTCAATCTTGAGGTTATGTGTAAGTATGTTTTACGCGTTCTTGCTCCACGATGAGAGTTAGAGAGAGAGAGAGAACGTGGAAACCCTCGTGAAAGCTTCCGGTTAATGGCCTCGGTGGCATGGCACTTGCCACGATGTGGAACGCCGCTAGTAGAACTGGCGGTTTTGCGCCGCCAGTTTCTCTCGTCGCTATTCGAGGGTTGGGAGGGGGAGGGGGGGCTTAGGATTCTATTTTTGCAAAATAAAAAATTTAGAAGGCTAGACTCAAGATTGGAGGGTACATGATATATCGAGGAAAGGTTCAAGAAACAAAAATGGCGAGGAGTTAAGTTAAGGTACGCGGTCGAAACGCCGATCGATGCGATTTAGCGCGCTCGCCTTCCCCCGCGCGGCTCTTACCTTCGCGGCTGACCACATCGCGGTCGCTACCACTTCGCCGACGTCGCCGATATTTCACGGAATATCCGCGCCGTCGCGTAAATCCCTGCGCTCCGATTTTGCAGTATCGGAAAGTATAAATAAAACGGTCGGTTTTACGTTCGCGGAAGAGCCATTCCCCGCTCCCCCCCCGCACCGGGGGGGGGATGGGGAGAAGGGGACAGTTATCGATCTCTCGTCGGTGAACCGGGCTCCCCGCAGCCGCGTATAATATATAATGTTTTATGCAAGGAAATCGCGCAAAGCTGAATTTCTTGTCCGCGACGCATGTTTCACTACCGCGCGGTGCGCGCGCGCGATGACGCGCGGAATATTTTTCGGAAATTTAGCCCACACGCCTGGCACACCGAAATGCGGCGCATGTATAGTTTTGCATGGCGGCAAATACGTTGCCGCAAGTCGTAACTTCTTACCCGGCTTACCTGGCGCGCGCGCGTCGATTTAAAAGCTCGGCGAAAAAGCTAGAAATTTGAAATATACCATGCGCCATTTATACGAGCGTGTACAGTTATATATAGTTTTCGTTCCGGGACAGTAATGGAGATAGAGATATGTATATACAATGTACGTCGGTTCAGTGAACCGGGGGGTGAACGTTTCGGCACGATATATTTCGCACATACGGTATATAATAATTAAATCGTTTAATAAATTGTGGGCCCGCTTGCACTATGCGGTAACTTACCTCGCAATGTATTTTGGTTAACCGAACACGCGCACAGCTCATATTATTCCATGTATTACGCTAAATTCATTATATTATAAATGCTACTCTTGAATATGTAATGAACATTTAACTAAGTATATGTTTAGTTACTAATCGATAGATTCATGTAGTAATATTCTATTATCGAAATAATTGAAAAATACAATATTCTTTCTATTAAAAAATTTACTTGTCAAAATTAATTCTTGAATTATTTTTTAAATTTTCCAGATATTAAAATTAACATTTCCTGTATTCAAACTATATTAGCAAAATTAATAGATTTAAAAATCTGATGCAAAAAAATTCACCACATATATACTCTCTATATTATTTTTAACTTCCGTAACGTTATCTATTATTTTTCCGAAGCTCCTAGCTGTATTTTGCTTCCAATTTGGTATTCATTTTGTTACTCATCTCGTTTTGTATTCCCTTTTACACTCTTGCCTCCTTGTCATTTGTTATGTGTACCTCGATCATATTGTTCTCGCGGAACCCTGACCGGAATACGTAGTAAGGTGCCAAAATCCATACGTTATGCCGCAGTCGCGCCCGTTTGCAAGTACGTGCAGCTGAACTCGGGCTCGAGGCACCAGAACGCCACCCCGCCGCCGTACAACGTGCCCGAGGAGGTGCACGGCGCCCTCAAGCACGAGACCATAAGTTTAGTTTGCGAGGTCGAGGCCAGCCCCACCAACGTGACCTTCCATTGGACCTTCAACAGCAGCGGCGACCTCAGCGACGTTCCGTCCACCAACTTCACCAACGAGGGCATAACCAGCAGGCTTAATTACACCCCGGTAACCGATACGGATTACGGGGTCCTGGGCTGCTGGGCCAGCAACTCCGTCGGCCACTCCAAGCAACCCTGCCTCTACCAGGTCATCGCCGCAGGTTCGTACGAGTTAAACCCGCTTATTCTCCTCCCTCCCCCCCCCCTTCTTTTCTGCCTTAATTGTTAATCCCGAAGAAACGTACCTGGCCTTTTCGAATAATGACGTGGAAGGCATATAAATCAGTTAATTGTAGCACAATTGACTGATTACAGTTTGCGAATTACAGGATATGCGAGATCCCTAATACATCCTTTAAACGCATTTCGATAAACACTGTTAATAATTTGATTACATCGAGCATTACTAAATGGTACACGTTGCCGATCAGTGCAAATCGCATTTGTTTTCGCTTTTCGCTAAACTCAATTTTTACGTCAGAACTGATTTGTTTCAATTTATATTTGTTTGTACAACTCACAATACCATTAAGCGAAGGATGTGTAAAAAAAAAATAACGAAGCAGATTTGCAGAATCCATAAACTATCCGTTGTCAGCGCACAACAAATACTCAACTAGCAATAGCGCAGCTTCCGCTTCTGTTGCTGGAAAATTGTTTATTGGTTCAAATATGTATCTTCTTATGATGATCATACAACTCCACGTTTCACGATGTTAAAACATTGTCCTCTTTCAAACAAACATTTCTATATTTTATTAAATATGAAAATGCGAAATTTATATATAAATAGTTAAAAGATCTTTTTATTCTGGAATATTCAAGTTCTCAATTATATTTGTAGTTTCATTTTTCACAAGTTGAGAATTAATTGTAAGTGAAACAGAGAAATTCCCACAGGCTGCGTGCATAAACTTTTCATTCGTCGGTTTGAAACGTCGGCGCATTTTTTGCTGGGAATAATAATTTTTAATTATTACCCGTGCGTCCATGAAAGTTGAATAATGCAGATCGTTTATTTTTCACATTACCCCTTGTCGCGAAAGAGCTGTTTAAAGCTGAAGCAGCGCATGTTTAACGTATTTAACTATTTATGAAAGCCGGGGCGAGCAGACTCCCCAGAGCGCGACAATATTATCTATTCGAGATACGTGTTCCGCCTGATTGCTATTTATTATCAATTGTTATACCGTTCCGTATTCACCAGTACATTACTGTTATTATGCGTACAAATGTTAATCCATAATTAGCGGGGACGTAACTATTATTGTATCCGAATAATTTAACAGTTTATAGCACCATAATTAAAGCCATCTTTTAATTAATTTTGCAATTAAGTAACGTAATACTCGCAGAACCATATTATAAGCCGACCACAGTAACTTGTGCATCGCTCCGGGGAATAATATTTATAAATCAGCCTTTTTAGCTTTTCGAAAATTCAACACTATCGATCGCGTATTTGCAAACATACAGATTGCGCACCCAAGTTTATAACAGCTGCGAAACGTGAACTGTTCAGTCGGTCCGAAGTCAACTTTTTTCCGTAGGAAGCTTCCCGTCGAGAGTCGTATTTTTCTTAATCCATTATTATTATAAGTCCTCCTTACGAGACACGGGCGGCTAATACACAGTTCCAACGAAGGGATTAAAAAGCTGTAATGCCAATAAACATACACGCCATTTGCGCAGAGACCGCGGGAATCCGGGGATCCCCGTACGAGATGCGAGAAACGGTCGCGGGAATTAAGAAGAGGAAGGAGAAAAGAAAAGAGGGAGAGAAAAAGCGACGTTACACAACGACGAGAGAGAGACGCCACGTTGAGATTCGCCCGCGTCGCGTTGCGCGCGCTTTTTTTGCGGGAATTTAATGAAAACCGTAATTGAATATGTTCATTACGAGGTATAACGCCTGTCGCGTCGCCGACCGTCGCGTCGTGCCGCTTCCTGGGATCGTCGGCGCGCGGACCGGGAAAGTCCTGTCCGTTTCGCGGCCCCCGATGCGGTGGTCCCTCGCGCGCTCCCGACGTCGCCGCGCGGTCGTCAGATGGACAACCAGATCGATTTGGTCCACGGGGGAGGGGGTGGGGGACGCCGGGCGTCGCGGCCCGGCAGCGTCGCCGGGACTATACTTTCTCCGCTTCGGCCTGCCCGCCCGCCCGCGGTAATTGGACGCGTAATTTATTTCACGCGCCCGACCCGATGCGCTTCTTACGTAATTACCGGACGGCAGTTTTCTCGCGCGCGACATCCCGCGCCGATACCGGCTGACAATTTCGCGATATCGAATAAATGTTACCGGGGTATATAATATCCTGCGCAAAGTATTGACCCGATATTAATTATATACTACGGAGGCCTTCAGCTTCGATATAAATAATCTGTCGATATTATAAAATTTATGGATAGAATATTTTTGATTTTTTTTCTGATTGTTCTCTTCTTTGCACGTTCAAAGACACAACAATTTTCAGAGGTAATCTTATTTTTCGTTTAGTGAATTGAATGCAAATACATATCAATAACAACGGAAAATGGCAAATAAAATTAATCGAGATTGCTGTCTGCTTCACGGGCTCTTTAGCGATATCAGAGGAGCGATAATTCGCGAACATCTCTCGTCAAATGCGAGGCAGCAACGTAATTTTCAGTGACATGAGTATTCGAGGGGAACGATAATGCGAGACGGTAAACGCAAGTGCCATTATTTCTCGATACATCTTCTCTCATAAGCCGGTCCCGAAGGGAGAAATCGTAAACAAGGAACATACGGATAGCAAGATATCGCGATGTAGCGTGTGTAACGTGCAAAGGAGCGAAGTGATAAGGTCGACCTCGATTCGTCGCGAGTGCACTCAGCTGCAGCGGTCATAAATTTATTGTAAACGCGCGACGTCTCCCGGAACCGTCGTCGCTTCCTTTCGCCTTCTATTCTTAGGATGGTAGAATTTGAAACGAGCCAGAGAATTTGTAGACGTAAACAACGGTAGGATAGGCACTCTAAATGTAAACCGTACATAAATTCCGATTTAATGAATGAACCAGAAATACTGTGTCGCGGCTGACGTCGTGCTAGACAACGACTGCCAAAATGTCTCAATATTTTTCCGAGCAACAACTTTTAATAAAGTAGCGAGTGGTCTTAATTGAGCTGGTTGTACAAGACTGCTCCAGTTATTCCGTTGCTTTTTTCTTTTAATAAGAAATATCAGAGGTCCAACTAAAAGAATACGTGACATACATAATACAGTGTAAATAATAATTAAATAAGCCTGTAATCAATTAAGCTTTAAACTAAATAGATAAATATATTTGTAGTTTCAAATTTATAATTTATTTATTTTATCTATTTAAACTAAATGGATAAAATTATATTTTTTTAAGGAAACATTATTTTACCTAGAATTTAATTTAATTTAATTTAATTTATAATAATAGAGGGAGTTACGATGTTGAAAATGAAATACAGTCGCTGGTAATATTATATGGAATTTCCACCGAAAAATAATTGGCTGCGAATTTGTCGAAAAAATACGCGGCGTGAAGATAATGGAACGGCGTACCGTGAAAGGCCGTATTAAATTTTCGCTAAATTGACGTAATTTTGTATTTAAGGGAAACGAGAGATAATTATGAATTATCGTCTTTCTCCCCGCTCGGAGAAACGGAACGGCGGCCTCGAGTTATACGCGATATGAGCACGGATAATAAAGCAGATGACGAAAAACAAACGCTTTAACCGGCGCTTTAATCCGCAGCCGCCGTCTGTGAGCAACGACGGTGCTATTAGCCCCCTCCGGACTATTTTCTTCCGTTTTGCACTTTCCGGGAGATTAGCGATGGCAAAAGCGATGGCAAAAGCAATTGTGCGATGCGCGACGAAAACAAATGCAGCGAAGCCGTGCTGCAATAATGGCCCAGGAGCATACGCGCCGGGGCACCACGTTGATTTCGTGTTGCTCTCGCAGCAGCGCGACGTCTATCGAAAACGCGATGCTTTTCGAGAATTCGCGCGAGAGAAAAATCGGTTATTTTATCTCCAATTCTCCATTTTCGAGAAAATGAGAAAAATCTTGGCTGTGCACTGTAATCTTTTCTTACATCGAGTAAAAATGTATCATGAAATATGTTTCATATACTCACATTTTTTTTCACTGAAATGCACTCGGAAATTTTGTTAATTAAAAACCATAACCGAGAGATTACACAGCGAGCTAAATTTATTCTTATATATTAAATAATATTATTCTTATATTACATTTTATTCCAATTCCGTTATTAATAATTAAGTAAATTAAAACTAATTAACGCGTATAAACTGTGCATTAATATTCTTGCGAAAAGATCGCGCAAAAAATGAAATAATATGACGCGGTTATTAAAATGAACGTTCTTATAGAAAAAAAACTTAATAAAATTGTTTTTGAAATAAATTAGTGTAAATAATATTCTAATTTTCTCAGGAAGGAAAAGACCGTAAAAGAATGCGTTAATGGCGGTCGATCGAATCTTTTGGTCGCGTTTATGTATTACCGTTGGTTTTGGAATTGGTTAATGCACCCACCGGCCTAGTCGATAATACACATAATTCTATTGCCCTGAAAACGGACCGGCGCAGCGGCGTCGCGGCGTAATTTTCAGCAGGCAATAAAACGAAATTTGCGCGTCCCGCGCAACGATCTGTGTCACTTTTTTCTCATATCGCTAGAATTTAATTTGTGAAATTATTTAGTTTAATGCTTTTGTAAAAAAAAGACAAAAAAAGAAAGAGACTGGTATGCAACATTAAAATAAAGCTTAAACGAATGGCAGTATCCAACAAAATCGTGAAATATATAATCTATGAAATACATGAAACCTACCTGAGGAAGAAACAATTACGTTAAAGAAAAGAATTAATTGCATTAAATTGCATATTTAGATTACAGTAACAGTAAGATATTATACAGCCGTTAAATTTTTACATGACAACAACACGGTTTACAAAATTATTGTCAATAGTCGTTTTAACAAATATTAGATCAAATAAATGTTTTTATTAATTTTTGTGGAATACGCGAAATAACATCGACGACATTTTCCGACGATTTAATTGATGTTGCTTTGATTTTTTAAAATAAAACAATGCATGTTATGATACCAAATTTTAAAAAAATCAATAAAAATTATAGAATATCTCTTGGTGTCCACGAGATATATAAATTGTCGCAAAAAATGAATTTCTGTCAATATTTTTATATTTTCTCTAAATAAAATTGTATTAAAAATTTAAAGAAAAAATTTTAATTCTTTAAATGCTAATAGTAGCATTCATTATAATATTATTATTAACTGTAACTTTTTAAGAAGTAATTGATAAAAGTTAAACAATTTTAATTATCATTTTCTTATACTCTCATGTCATTTCATTCGAAGCAGTCCTTTCATTTTTCTGTTTAATGTGCACTTGTTCGAAGCAGAATATCTATAAAAAAAGCTAGAATGTGAGAGGAAGCAAGATGAAAAGGATCCTATTTGAAAAATGGACACGTATTTCCTTTGAAGACCGATCACCCTAGCTAATCGGCGATATCACGTACCCTCTCTCGCGATCTCCAAAGCCACATTTTCTTCGCAGGCAGACCTTACCCGTTGCAGAACTGCACGACCTACAACATAAACGGTTCCTGGGTGAGGATATCCTGCGTCGAGGGATACGACGGTGGTCTACCGCAGAAATTCGTCGCCATCGTCGGCAAACGGCGTCTGGAATCATCTCTCCCTTTCTGGGAGTTTCAGATGCTCAGGCCGGCGAAGGTTGCCCTTTACGCGGTAAACGCGAAGGGCTCGAGCGAGCCGTACGCCATAGAGGTCGTCCTGAAAGGGGTCGCCAAATTCACCGGTAAGTTTTCGCCAAGTGCAATCAGGATGATCGTCGAAGTAGCGGTGAGATAACTCACTTGGGGCGCCTCGCCGCAAAAGGGCGCCGCGCCGTGGTGGCGCGATGATTTTAGAGCGTTTGGCAATTGACGACGCGCAATCTCTCCGAAAATAGGCCGGCATTTCGCAGAATAATATCTGCCGTTTTTAATGTCGGCGAACTTTATTTTAATTCGCTCCTCATCCTTTTCCCCAGAATTAAAATTGGAATGACTCCAAAAGTAGGTCAAATAATGTTTAACGTTCAAATATATTATTGAAAATATCTGTGTCCTATAATAAATTGTAATCAATACAATTTCTTTGTGCGGCAAAGCGTTAGAATAAGACGTAAATGTCTTTCTATATGCATGGTTTTGCCTAGTTTATGTACGATTGACGAAAGATTCATAAATTATACATACATAGCTGAAAAAAAGTGTATGGAAAACAACTCCGGAGAAATTTCCGAGTAGCTCTCCTTAATCCTTTCAATCGCGATGCAAATAATCCTGAGTGCATAGAATCGATACCCCCGAGCCCGCACTGGAGCCAAAGCTTTTTTCCTCGTTTCATCGCGCGGCTCTTTATTCCGTTTTCCGAAACCCCCGGCGAGTTGACGTTCGCGTCAAATCGCAGCTTATCGATCGGCCTAGCTGGCCACGTTCGCCTGTTATTCGAACTTGGGCAAAAATACGATGGTGGTAAAAATAGCGCATATTGCGCGGGGGATCCGCACTCCAGCGACTTCCGCGCTGTATAAACTTCCGCATTGTTAAAAAAAAAAGTGCTCGATAAAAAAGTGTGTACTGTAGAAATTACCGTGATGAAGAGTTCCGCTTTGTTTAACTACAAAAGATTCCGGACGAACGTGGTTTAATAAAACGGTGCGCACTCGCAAATTCTGAATGCCCGGTAGTCCACTTTTTTTCTACGAAAAGAAGGTGCAAAAAGATGTAATTACTGTAGAATTGGTTAACACAAATTCACTATACATTTGCACATTTTTAAACGTACGTGTATATCGACAAATAAATATGGAAATAAATTAGGCCAAAAGAATCGTACGTATTAAAAAAATTACTAAAATTGAACGCGATAATACAAAAAAAAATCATCGCGCATATCTTCATCCGAATGTACGTTATACAAAAAAAGAACGTGTCGTACTGCGATGGAGCTGTTCGTTCATAGAAATTCCCAGACGATAACGCGCTGACAAATTTACGTTCGACTCCGCTCTTCGTCTTGTTCCTGCTCGCGTATTTTGGAGAGAAGGAGCGCATCAAGTTTTGCCCTTCAATTTAGATGACCGTGACGTTATCTCGACCGGAAACGCTGGCGGCGACATGCAAATGATCCCTGTTGAACAGTTCGCCGCGCGCGCTAGGTCAACCCCCGGGTTCTAGCCTCGTTGCCGGTTTCGCTGAAACATGCGCGGTCGGCCCCTCGCGTAAAATTTATGAGCGTCAAAATTTATGAGCCATTATTATGCATTCTGCTCTCCGCCACGTCCGCATCGCGTCCGCTCTCCTCCATTTTCCCGACACCCCCGTCACCGTTGCGAGGCGCGATTCTCGCTAATCGAAAACGATCGTCGCTTTCGTTAATCCCAGAAAACGTTCGACCGCGGAGATATGATAAGGATAAGCCCGCGAATGCAACTCCTGAATTATGTACGATCCCCTTTTGATATGAATCGGAATACATCACGGGTCTCTCCCGCCTGAAAATTTCAACGGCGCCAATCGTCGGCGCACCGCGACGTTGACTTTCAACGTTAAATATCGCGGCGATCAATTAAAATGGGAATTGGAGTTTTATTGATACGAGCTCCGCTTGCAATTGCAGAACTAATGAATAAAATTTATGAAAGAATATTTAAGAAACAAGATTTTTGCTGATTAAAAGCTACAGTCGAATGATATTTCGAAATTATAGGAATATTGAATTCTGGAAAAAGAATATCTTTTTATGCTTATCAAATTTTAATACTGATCAAATTTAAGAATACCTTTATGCTTATCAAATTTTTAGCTTTAATTATATTTCAATACACGGCATAAACAGAACAGAGGAGTTTCATTTAAACACTTGCTTTGTGACTTGCCATTGTTCCGTAACTTGTCGAGTGGAACGTCGAAACTATATCAATAGGAAGTAAACGCGCAATCGAGACGCAGGCCGCATACCACAGTATCTCGTTTTAACGCAAAGCAAAGGGAAGCAGTCCCTCCGTTTACGATAGGGAAAGGAGGAGAGCGCGTTCGCGTCGACGGTGCGACGTCCTTTAACGTTGTCCCCTCGTCGCTTCGTTCGTATTCAATTACACCTCGGCAACCAATGGCGGGGGAATAGATGCGCTTTGTGCTTTGTTAATTAGCATTTAACTGAAACTTGATTGTTAATTGGAAACAAATTAGCTGGCCGGTTGTTTGCTCCGTCTCGTGCCGACGCGACGCGCAACTTTAGTGGATACCTACACCTGTTTACAAGGTGATCGAATTACAGGCTCTTGGTACGACACTCGCAATTTATGTCGAGTGCCCCGGAAAAGAGTATTCCTCTCTCGTATCTCCGATCGCCTTACGGTCAAAGTTTCATTAGCGAAAATGTCGCGATGGCTTTTGCACTGCGAACGATTAAAAGAAATAGATTGTAACTTTAGCGTTTTACAATTAATGTTGGAGTCACGTCGTAACTCTTGTATCTAATTTTTCGGGACAGAAATGTAACTCGAGATTTAATTAATCGAGACGTCTGGCGATGGAAATTTGAAGATTGCGGAAGAAAATTTTGACTAAAAAATTTATGGTTGCGAAGATTAGCGGTAGCTCCTCTCCAACTACTCCACGTAATCCTCCGACTGCAAGCGTGTGATATCTACAATCTTCGGTTAATTTCACAGGTGAACTTTAACAGAATCTTAATATAAGATTTCAGTTGCCGCGAAGTGCGCTAAATTAGGACACTTATAAACTTTTGAATTACGATTGCGGCGAGAATTCCTGAAATTTTCGCGTTTTTATCGCGTACAAGGAGTCTTGGATAAAATCTCACGGAAGTGCAATATCTCCGTAATTACAGAAAGTTCATCTTACCCTCGTGCGACCTTCATACGATGCGATTATCCTACAAAAATCTTACTTTCGACCGTTTCCGGAATCGAGATACCCGCCGTCAGTTAGATTTTTAGCCAGAAGAGCCAGCCGCGTCGGGAACGGCACGGTCGAAGGGGAGAAGCGGTAACTTCAGGACGCCCGATGTACGCGCTTACACTTATCCGCGTCGCGGTTTAAGCCGAATGATTAACGACGGCGCGGAAACGACTGCGGGGTGTCGGGCGCGCGTCGTTCCCGCAGAGCCGGAGCTATTCCTAATCCGCTGCTGCAGAGCTCTCTGCCGTCCTACCTCCCTCGCCTCCGCCGCCGCGTGGAACGAGCGACTCACAAATCAGCCGCAGCGTTAGACCACCGTAATGCAACCTGCCACGAAGTTCGAGAACGATCGACTACGGGCGCCGCGCCTTAATTGGAAACAGATTACGCTCGTGCCGACGCGCGCGCGCGGGCGGGGGGGGGTGGAGGAGTCCGCCGGGGGATGTCGGACAGGTAAATTGGAACGCCCGGTCGCGTCTGATCCGTGGCTGACCGCAGCCACTGCGCGAAATCTTAAGCGTACGCCGCGCGCGAACGTAGCGATTTGTCGTGGAACGCGATAGGGAAATACGTCCTCGTCAAATGAATGGATTGATAGACAGATATAGTTCAAAAGAGAAAGGCAATTAGAATTAGAAGATAACTTTGATAAGAGTATATATGTCGAAGAATACACAGAGAGAATTTTTTTTTAATTTACCCTGAAAATCATGTTAATTGTGGGACAATATAGTATTTAAACAAATTTTACTGTGCACTACAATAAATTTTACTGTAAAATATTGTCCCACAATTAACATTATTTGCAGGGTAAATTAAAAAAAAAATTCTCTCCGTGATAATAATAATTTTATTATGATATGTAGACATGTTGGTTATTTATTCAAATAACGATTAAGATTACGAATATACATTTTTTTAATAATATTTGAAATAGTACAAGAAATAATAATTTATCAGCAGCAATCGAACTGTAATATTAATGAAACAAAACTGTTATTAAGCACTGCATTCTCTGCAGAGTTTCGATATGATTAACTTACTGTTAGTAATGCTCTGATTTTTTAAGGAGTTTTAGAATTCCTAATAAGAATTAAGATTGATTATGATTGAAGTAAGAAAAAATTATGATCAATTTTATATTACAACGAAAGTGCAAAACGTTGATATCTCATGTCTTCGCGTCCTTATTTTTACACTTAATTATTAGAAATTCCTTCTTGAAGGAACAGCTGCAGCCAGCATTAAAAAAAAAACAGCCAGAATACAAATTACATTATGATTCTGACAATAGAATGCTATCTTCAAGAAGGTAGACAATAGTGCAGTGGCTGCAACAATAATAACAACGTCCGTAATAAACAAGCAGAGTGGACATTTTCTGTATTAATACACTGATATACGGTTTAGGAATATATACGGCTTTATATAAAACGCGTCTAGGTTTACGCGATCCGTATGTAGGGAATCGCTGGGAAAAAGATTGCCAGCCGTCATACGGTTATTTATGGATGAGGGAAGGAACTAGTAGAAATTTCATTCACAGGCGAATCGACGTCCTCGACCGACATGTCACCGATTTTGATTGGACTTGGTGGCACGGCGACCGGTCTGGGATTAATCGTGACCGGTGTGCTAATGGCACTCTGGAGGAGGCACGCGGCCACCCCGGCGAAGCCGAAGCCGCCGCAGCAGCCTAGCATCGCGACTTTCGCGGGGAAGGGCGAGGAGGAAGACGGCAATCCGGATCTCATACCCACGACGGCCTTGACCAACCATCTAACTGGTAGGCTTGCTTAATGAGTATTAAACCGCTTAAAAATTTGACGAGTTTCCATAAAGACAGATAAGAAATAATTAAAACAAGTGTTTCGAAATGATTTAACCTTTAAACCACCACGCCTAAAAAAATCACACTAACCACAATGTCTGACAGACCGCTATTATGCTTTCGCTAATTTTATAAGTTAATTATAATAAAAATGTATGTTTTCTAAATATTTGTGATGGGAAAAAAGAAAACTATATTTTAATGTGAAGGTTAACAAAAAAAATCTCGTATACAATAGAAATAAAATATATTTAAATGGTGACAAATAAGAAAATGGTTGACAAGTATAAACGTTTTAATAGCGGTTTGTGAGACCGATATAGTGGTTTAAAGGTTAAATTATGAACTTTAAGAGAATATTTGGATTTCTTTTCATTCTTTTTTGATCTCTCGAACGTATCGACTCTTAAAGTAGATTATTTAATCCAGCCGTGAGCGTTAAAAGCGTTTTATAATATCGTGGAAATAAATTCTCGTCAGCTTTTTTAAACCTTGTCTGTTTTTATCGTTAGTAAGACGTTTTCGAAATATCGCGAGAAAATTTACTGTATCAGAGGACGAAAGTTCGAATCGGGCTGAGATTTAACATTCAACTCTTACAAGCGCGTCCCTTTAAGGAGGGACCGGAGGCATATCGTTCGGGCATAACCGGCCATCCCATTCAGCGAATTTCTACTTAGACTGATGGAACTGGCGCATTTGTACGAGGATTTTAAGAATATCGCGTTCCGCCTTAGACCGGGTAGCATGCGTTAGTGGTACTCTCAAGGAAATTGCACTCACAATATGCGAGCGGTTCTAGCGTACCGTATCGACAGATGCATACACGCGGAACGCATGGGAATGCATGCATATACATATATAAATGCGCGGAACACATATGGTAATCTATATGCGATAAAAAAATCGTAGAAAGAGGTAGAGCAGCGGTTTTTCGATTCTAGGTCGGTCTCGTTTCCTCCGCGGAAATTCAGATCTATGGAACGTTTTGTTGCGATTTAATTAATATTTAACAAGTACTCAAATATGCTTTAAGGCTGAGCACACTTAATCCGTACTTTAAAATGATTTCGTGAGATATCTTGGCAAATGAGTTCCCGTTATACGCATTCAAGCACCCTCTCCTCAAATCTACTTTACCGAATCTAAAACTCGATAATTATGAAATACACTACACACACACACACACACACACACACCTTCCCACACTTTGCTAATAATACTTCGTTGAAATTAAAACTCGATAATTATTCAACGTTCCATAAAGTTTAAAAGTAGTTGAACAAAAGTAATTTAATAACAGTGCCAGTTTCGAACGTGATATTCGCCGATCAAATAGCAAAGGCAGATTATTTGGAAGATTAAAACATGCTTCGTCATTTATTTTTTATTAATGATCACCCAGAGTTCTCGGGCGGTTTCTCGATTTTCCTCCCGCAACATGCGGAGCGACGCGATGTATCCAAGCGCTCCTCAATCCCCCTTCGCGAGCGGCGAACTTTCGGCTTCGGCAAACAAAATAGTAAGAAACGATCGGGGGAATGCCGTCCACGGAGAGAAAGGAGCGCGAAAGCTCGCCCACTAAAGTTGCCGGCGAGAGAAGTTCAAAATACTTTGCGAAATCCGCGGGCTTACTTCAAACCGATTATACGAGTGACGCTAAGTCCGTCCTGGGACTTCTTCCAGATAGAAAGCTTCCTCGTTACGGGTCCCTGCCACGAAGACCACGTCAGCTGGAAGGACGCGAGATGTCCCACGACGTCCTAGAAGATTCAGATTATCCGAGAGCATCGCCGAACGTGAGTAATCCGATTTCATCTAAGGCATTGGTTCCCAAACTGCGGACCTCCCCTCGGCAAAACTGCCCCCTTGGGAGAAACGTAAAAGTGGAACGCCTCTAAGTTAAATAGAGATTTTTTTTGGGAGGGGGAGGACAAGAAGTTAATACGATAAAAATATATACATAAACGTAGATTATCTAGAGTTTCTTTTATTATTCTTTTATCTACTAATTTGAGTGGACAAAACGAAAGAAAACCATGCATTTTGTTAAATTTTAAGCGCAATCAAATCTTGTAATATACTATATAAAAACATCGAATTATATTAAACTGAAAAATTTCGTGCTTTAGTATGTATCAGTTCTATAGATCTACCGCGACATTTTCTTGAAAGATGGAACAAGACGTTTAAAATATCTTTAAGAGATCTTTAAAATATTCAAGGAGAGCCCCGCGGAATTTGGGAACCTCTGATCTAAAGCGTTCTATTCGGCGAATGCGTATACCTGCACATGGCTCCCCGATAGCCCCTAACATAGAAAACCACTTTCGAATTCGATCCGGTCTGCTTTACGATTTCGCTTATCGCCGTTTTCTTGCAGGTCAGATTTAGCGAATGAGAACGTTTCCTTTGCGCCTGACACACTTATTCCGGATAACGGATGGGCATAATAATCGTGTCGAAATACGCGAAAATATCTCGGAAGGTATCCGCGATGTTGTCGATGTTTTCCGCGCGATGCATTATGACGCTACAAGTCGCAGAGTGCGCTTTTCTCTTACGGAAATTTCAGTACTACAATAATTTCTTATATAAACTCTATATTACGGAAAAATATGACTCCTGTACGAAAAATTTCGAGGAATCTAAACTGATCTTACAGTGACACGACTATAATAAAGTTTATTTACTCCGAAGCGTATTTTTCAATTTTGGCTTTCAGTCACCGCGTCGAAAATTCGTGAGATCCATCGCTCGTGCGATGGAGATATGCATATTCTAATATTATAAAAATATCGTGAGAAAGAGAGAGAGAGAGAGAGAGAGAGAGAGAAAGGAAGGGGGAGCACCCGCTATAAAAATTCTATGCTGGTCTGGCGAATAAGAGAAGTTTCCCGCGGATAGATCGAATTCAATTCCCGGTCGTAGCTTCTACATTTTTCTAAGTGATACCGTATACCTCCACCGGGAGAGACAGGTCTTCCAACTTTAAACTCTAGACAAATATCTTCCAAATTCGATTTAACCCGGCAATGATGTCGTATCGGCGACGGGTATCACGGTGTATGAAAGCTTCGCCGCGGCTTTTCTCGGTGTAAATTCAAAATGAAACTTTTACAAGCAGTTACTTTAGCAACGGTAAACAATTAACAGACGAATAATTTTGTTGTAAATTTTTGTATAAGATAACCACGGAAATGCAAATCTTATATTGTTTGCCGACTCTGCTTTTTGATCAGCGAGATTCTTCGCTTTTGCGACGATAATTTTATTTTCTACAGTCAATCGACTTCTTCTCCCGAAGTCGTTTACTCTTTCGAGTTTCCTCACTTTATTTTCGTCTCCGTCTATTCAGACTACATTCTACAGTCTCCAAAGGCCGCACTCGGAGACGATCAGCAGGAGCATTCAGGAGAGCTGCATTTAAGGGTCAAACGCCGGCTGGGACATTAAGAGAAGTGGGCGGACGACAGTCTAGACGGATGGACGAGAAGATCCAGACGTCTGCTGCATCGCCTAACTTCCGGGTCGTCGACCATCGTTCAACAGGGTATAGGAGGCCCCTGGACCATGGCTGATGCAGGCTGGGAGGCAGGGAGACGAGGGAGAGAAAGAGAAAGAGAGAGGAGTCACACGCTTGTGCCACGTTTTGCACGCGTTCAAGCGTACCAAAGTCATTTATATAGCCACTTGATTCACACTACGCCTTTGTAAATATTGTATATAAATAAAACACTTTTTCGTGTTACAACCCTTTCTATCCTGTGTTTTATTATCGCCAACGAATCATCGCCATCTTTGTCAGGTATGAGATCTATATATTTTTTTTCTCGGAGAACCGTATTAACATAAATGTTTCAAACGAAGCAGTCAGATAAAATGCAGAGTGAACGAAAAATTGTCTCATTATCACGAAGCAGAAATGTGTGATTGGAACTTGTATTAAAAAATTACGCAATATTCATGCATGTATAATTTATATATTTCTATTTGTACCGGGAATTTACGTGAAATTCCGAAATCATGTTTGATATATTTTATCTCGTAGTGCGATCCGACCTCTCTGCGTTATCCACTGCAATCTAGTTTTCCTAAATTCTATACCAAAGTTATAATTTCCCGTCGAAAAATTCGATGCCGAATTTTTCAGAGTGATATTAGTTGCGCGAATTGAAAAGCAGATTGCGCGGGGAATCCGACGTTTATTTTACACAAGCGCGCGCGAGCTGATCCACTTATTCAAAAGGTCCTCCAGTCTTGCCGCTTTTATGGGGCAATCCACGTTTTCTTCCTGCGAGAGCGGCGACGACGTGGCGCGCGTTATCCTGCGAGGGAAAGCGCAACGAGGGACGCGAGAGAGGCGGCATCACGAAGTAAATCGCATAAAGCATAAATGCCGTCGCAGCGAGAAACTAACGGCATCTTTCCACAGCCTCCTTTCACGCCGATTTCAACAGGGCGAAGCTGGGCTCTTCTTTGAATGTGTAAAAATTCTTCAGTCCTTTTAATTTCTCGCCGTGATGTCTTGACGGTTCATTTCGCTGTTAAATGCACGGGATCGCCGCTTTGAGTTATTCATAACGACGACATAACAGCGTGAAACATTATACTGATGAGTTTCCTCTCTCAGATCGTTTCGCGTTTCAAATCGCGTTTTTTTAACTAATTTTTTTCTTAGAAACTAAAAAAATTAAAATAAAGTATCAGAGATCCCGGAATTGCGTAGGAAATTCGAATTAGCAAGATTGAATCTCAGTTTCAAATAATTCAAAAGAATTAAAATAAAACAATTTTTAGAATTGCAGTAAGTTTTTTCGAATTAGTAAGATTAAATCTTACAATTAGTAAGATTAAGTCTTTCAGTCATTTAAATAATTAAAAAAGATTAACCACGTTATTTTTATCTTAATGCTAAATTTTCCAGTGGCTTATAACGATTTTTTTTTTTAGTTAAAATGTTTTAAGTAATGAAAGGATTAATAGCGATATATTATGTTAATGGTATCGGAGGGAGCATTTGGTGAATCCTTTGCGTCTGACGAACGACAGTGAGTTACGATACGTAAATTTTGTTCTCTTCGCTCGAGTATAGCGCTTTAATGTGGCGTATTTCAAGCTGAAGCACGTAATTGGCCATTCGAGATGCAAAGTGCACCGTCTGCCATTCGCGTGCACTACCCCCCCTGTGCCCCACTATTGTCGATTTGCGTTTATGCGCCCTTTCCCTTCCACCCCCCCCCCTCTCCCCGCACTGCCGAACGATGGTGGATAAAAATTGCGCGGTGGATAAAAGCGCAGTAGTTTCCATATAACCGGCGGCAACACGACACAAATCCATATTCTCAGCGCGCGTTCGGCTTAAACGCGGCTATTTGCTATCGAGAGCTTTAACCGCCTGATAAAAATAACACTGTGCATTTAGTACCGGCATGATGCGACTCTGATGGGAATCGGAAAAAATACGGGAAAGCAATTGCGGTGTTTCTCCAGTCGTATAAAAATCAACGCGCATATTCGATTTCAATTTATTCGAAAAACCTCCAATTTTAAAGTATATATACGTCAAAAAAACAGTCCCTCCCATTTACGTATTATTTTACATTCAGAATCGCGCGCTGACGATTCACGATTCTGTTTGTCAAAATAAATTCTGTATAAAAGTAAAAATTGAAAACGAAAAATCTTCGTCCGTTCGATGATTTATCCGAGGGATTAATGGGATCAGGATCGCCCTGCGGCGAACGCTCCGAATCGCACGTGACAGCGGACAGGCTTCTCCGAAGGAATTAGTGGAATAAGTCGCGCGGAGGATCGGGACCAAACTCAAACAACGAATTGGGAAGGTTTGGGTGAGAGTTTAATCCTACGAGCGATTACGGGGTTAAAATATACCACGGCATTGTATATATGTATATATATGTATCTGGCACACCCTCGGATGTCGCCTCGGCGCCGCCGTTACATCCACCTTGAGTTGAAACTTTTATGATTTCACGTTTGGCCGCTTACGTTTAAGTTTGCGCGCACAAACTCAGTCAGCAACCAGTCACGAATGCCTGGTACATTTACATGCACGAAATTCTCCGTTTAACTTCCATCTCGCCGCGAGTCGCTCTCGCGAAAAGCGCGAGTGCGCCGCCGCTTGAAATTCATCTCTCGGCGTTAAAGAGCGGGGTATTTCCAGCGCGAGAAAAAGTGGCAGTTGGTGATATTTTTCCGAAAAATAGACTAAATACTTTTTGGATTTTATACGCTTTGTATGTTTGATGAAACTTGTCACATTTCGAGGGAATATTTCGTCAAAAGAGAGTAAAGCTCTTATACGCAGGAAGTTTATAGAGAACGGTAGGTATTCATGATATTCTAAAAAAAAAAAACGCATTCCTATTCTACATACGATTGCCAGAAAGGCGTCATCAAATGCGAGCGTTTCCACGTCGAAGCGAAATCCCGCAAGATCCCGCGGGGCTGTGCGTATATAAATCATCTTTACAACGGCCGGCCGCGAATAAAAACTTTGTTAAACGGCGCGGACATAAATCACCGGCGGGAGGAAGTCGGCGAAGTTTCGCCTCGAAACCGGCTAAAGATAATGCATATAATACGCGGAGGCGCGTTGCGCGCCTCAAAAACGCTAATTTGTAGCCGTCGGCGGTTTATCAATCTCTCACCGCGTTGCGAAGCGAGCAATTAGCGAGCGAGCCCGCCGGCGCGGCGGCGAACGCGGCCTGTCGTTCGGCGGCGAAGATCCTCTTCGAAAATCTCGATGCCGGATTTACGGGATGACCGCTGTAATTTGCTCCTCGCTCGATCCTGTTACGCGAAAGGGGACGCGGCTCTCCTAATTTCTCTTATCCCGGGGATTACGGGATCCTACGGCGGTCTGCAAGTGTCACGTGCGGAAAAATCCCAGAGTCTCGATAGTCGAAACCGGGCGAGACGGCGAGTCCTCCCTCGAGAGGACGAGGGAAACTGTTCGGCGAGGAACTGCGCGAAATAACGAATCACGAGACACGTAAGCCTCTCTGACAGTTTGACCACTGCAACTATAATACCCACTCGGTGCAAAATAGAACGCGTACGTGGCATAATATGTATAGTTGCAAAAACGTATTGGAAATTCATTATCTATATCGGAAATTATTAATGGTAATGCTAAATTAATATGTTAATAACGATAAATTATTAATGTTTTAACAAATAATTATAATCGTGTGTATTATCTTCAAATGGTTTATCGTTGCTAGGTAATTTATTATTTCTAAAGGCGGCTTATTATCCCTGACAAATTTGTCATTTGCCACCAATTTGAATTATTCCTGTATCCCATATATAATTTCTCGTATCATTTCTAATCAGTTTTTACAATCTCCGAAATTCCTTTATCTGACAGTTAACTCTAAAATACATAAGAAAGAATTATTTATTCAGTTTAAAGGGTTTAGCGTTTCTCTTGTTGTTGCGCAGCGCGCCGAGAGAATCGGGCGTAACATAAAACATAATTTTATTAAACTTGTTATTCTATTACAGGATATATTAATAATACTAGAGGCAGACAAACAATACGCATATAATCACCTATCCATTTACATTTTGCCAATTAGCCGAATGGTTAATAATTAATATCAAATATATTCCCGATGTAACATATCGCAAAACATTTACATGTAATCGATATTATTTCAATCTCCATCCGCTTTGTGAACTAACTCTCGGAATTTTATCGATAAAAATATAAAGGAAATCCGTATTCTATCGTATGGTATCGATTTTGAATGGTTCCGATTTTGAATAAGAGAATAGTTAATGAGCACATACAGATGAAAGGGAAACAGGAGATAACTGGGATAATTATAAAATTAGTTCCCGAAATTAGGAGTTCTTTGAAAATTAGGGAAATACGAAATATTTCGTGGAATACGTTTTTATTAATTAAATTTAATTTATATCTATATTTTTTTTATTGAAAGTTGTAGAAAGAATTAAGTGCCCAACAGTTCTGTCCTTCATCTATCGCAAGCGTATTCGCGAAAGAGTAGCAATCCACTCCTGCCAGATAAATTACCGAGTGTACTCTCGAACGCTATCGGAAAAGCCTCGAGCTTCATTATCGTTCGTCCACGGCGTGTGTTGTAGTCTTTCGTCGAATTCTTAGAGAGCTCGCCGAGTTGACCGAGGGATCCTCGTTACGGTTATTTACCGAAGACCGGTACTGATTAATTCCAAACCGTTCCCCTCGTCCTTCAACCCCTGTGAATTCTGCACGGACGCTGTATGCGGTCCGCACGGCCTCCCCGGCCCCGCATCCTGTGAATCCTGCTCTCTCTCCGGCCATCGTCCATTCGGTATTTGCGGTCGATAGACTCTAAGTTACACTCGCCTGTTTGCTACCAAATATTGCCGACAAATAAGACGTAAAGGATGCTCCAGGGAAAGTTTGAAAAGGGGCCTCCAGTCCCCGATTCTCGTGAAACTTGATATAAACGTCCAGGATCCGGAACAACAAGAACAATCCTAATCGATTGATTTTCCGAAGGAGAAAAGCCGAATGCAATAGCGATACATAAAAGTTAATTGGCAGAATGTGACGATATTAATATTGCACAAATATATATGTACTCTTATTTTTTCTTCGTCTATAGGAAATGATTTTAGGAAAATGAATAGAAATATACAACAGGTTGTTATGATACATAAAAGAAACTATATATTCACATTTTAAAATTTAAGGAACTTAAATCTCCGTATTAAATTCCGA